ATTTCCACTCATTTTTCAATCCCTTTCTAATCATTATCTAAACTCTTATACAAGAATAATAAAGTTTTACCCTATCTTCAATTTATTTGGTATTAACAGGCTTAACAACAACACTAACCCTTAATTAATTGTTATCTTTATTCAGAACACCCCAATCTTCGGTATCTCTCTACATGGCAAATAAATATATCCTTAATCAATAGTTATCGATTAGTTGTTCCTTAATCAATTCTTATCCTATCAGCTATTCTTTCAATAACTGCCCAATATATCCTTCTTTCCATGTATATATATAAACACACACATGTGATACGTAAATAAAATTCAGGATTAATGGCATCATAAAAAAATTCACCAGAACTAGAAAATACTTGGGGCATCAAGTTAAGCAATAATCATCAGCTTCAAGCAACGTCTTCTTTAGGTTTTGCTCATCGGCGTCAACCAATAATCTTCTTCGTCATGGTCTGTCAGTGTTCTTCCAATCCCAAAAACGCATAGAGAAAATAAATGTTTAATTCAGGTTAGTATGGTACTGTAATATCTTATCATATATAAGGATAATTTTGAAAATCAAAATTTATTACTTAAACTACTGTTCAGCTTCCCGAGAACACGTTTCTGAAAGCTTGTTTTTTTGGCTTCACTCTAATGGGCTTTGAATGACTTTAGCGTTCAGGGAAAGCCTGTTTCAAAACTTTCACCAAACATGCTAATTTTTTGGGAATGCCTTTATGAACATGAAAACCCCTTTTGAAGTACCCAAAAGCCCTGCCAAACATAGCCTAAATTGTTGATCAACTTAATAAAAGTGTTTTTTTTTTCTTTTAAAGAAAATTAAATTCCAGTAATCATAGCTATACAAAATTACTCTAAAGGGTAAAGAAAACATAAGTTTGTTGCAGGAGCAAACTATCGAAATCATGGCTTTTTTTTTCTTTTTCTTTTTTTTTTTTCTTTTTTTTAATTCTCCCCCCTTCTCAATTTTTTGAAAATACTCCATATACTCTTGCCTCCACTAAATATTTTGGATTCAAAAGATACTAAAGTAATCGACGCTCTCTCTCTCTCTCACACACATTTTTTCACCTAGTGAATTGTCTCTCACAATCTTGTTTTTCAACACAATTTACTTTTAGAATACAGGATCATATATATATATATATATATATATATATATATAAAACAATAGGTTTATTAGTCAATGTGTTTCTGCTGTGTCCGCATCTTAATTTTTTACGATTTGCTATGTCGTAGTGTGACTTGTGTCCATGTCATGTCATATCTGTATTTGTGCTTTTTAGATGATAATTGATTCTTTCTTCCTAGTATTTGTGATATATAAATTTTATAATTGGTAATTTTCGATGTCAAAATAAGTCATAATCGAGTTATAATTTCAAGTTACCATATCTGGATCGACATCAACTACGGAATGTAAAGGTTGTTCAGAAGACGAAATACTGAGATCATCGAAAAGGAAAGAACAACACTTTTAGGAAGTCGTTTCCCACTTAGGACACAATATCTATAAGGTATATTTTTTAAGTTACCAAAAACAGAATTTTCCATTTTCTGATTAAATCTATCAAGTGGGAACCGGTACCACATTTGGAAACTGGTTCAAGAAGCTGTTATTCGAAGAAATCTATTCTTTCCTTTGGGAACCGGTTCCACACTTGGCTACCGGTACCATTGTTGTTTTACCTTTAGATAACTTTGTCCTGGTCAATTTTTAACTTCTTATTTGGCTTAGAATTATACTAAAAATCCTATGCACGAAATTTCCTTTATTTTCAGAAGGATTAGGTCTTTGAAAATTCTATATAAACCCTGATACACATTTAGGTTTATTCATGACTTTTGCACTATCAATTCATTATTCATAAAACCCTTAGGAAGATTATCTTTGCAGAAATCCAAGAGATTTATTTGTCAGTCTTTCTAGAACATACACATAAACACAAGAGTAAGTTTAGAGTGTTGTTCAAATTCTGATCGTGATCAAAGTCTTGCATCTATAACAATCAGAGAAAAACAGATTTGCTTGTACATCGAATTCAAGTATTGAAGAATAGAAGCAAAAGCGATCACACTTTGAAAGGGTCAAAACATTCGTGGAGTGTTGTTCGATCTACCTGCTACGCTTCTACAAAGATCAAACATAAGCCTGAGGTCAAGTTACTGTTAGACGGGACGTTGCAAAGCCAGAGGATTGTCAGCTATTGGTATTTGGTAGAATGATAGGGTGTGAGCCAGAGTTAAAGTTTAATATATTTTGTTTCAAACATAGTGAATTGGTTTACTTTGGATTGCACAGTCCACGAGGTTTATCTCGCGCAAATAGTTGACGTATTTTATCAGCTGGTTTTTCTCGCTAAAAACCCTGATGTCATCTCTAACTCTTATTTTGCTTTATTTGATCTGCATATAATTAATTATTTAATTGATAGAATAAGTAAATATTAGAAAGATACAGATTTATTTCTAAAAATATAAAATGTTCTAAATATTCCGCTGCGTACGACTCACAGTATTCACCCATTATTCATTCCCTCTCTCTTATTTTCATAAATATAATAAACGAAAAATATTATCAATTAAAATTAGGTTCTTATGATTATTATTTTATTTTTTTAAAAAAATTATTTTTATTTTATTTTCTGCAATGACGCCCCCTTAACAAAATTCCTTGGTTCGTTATTGACCACTAGGCCACAAGGCTTTCCAACCAATTTTGCATAGCTAATTGGCCTTACAACAACACAGTTTGGTTTGGTCACGGTTTCAAATTTGTGGAACCATAAAAATATGGTTTGATCACGGTTTAAGGTTCTTTAAGACCGAATCGAACCAAATCGTTAAGTTATATATATAATATAATTTTATAGTGACTGAATGTTGTTGGTTTTCTAAATTCTGGTATTTGTTATTCAATTAATAGTTCTAGCTAAATGTAATAGGCTATTAGTAGTTCAATCCGAAGGTGTTCTCTAATTCATTTCAGTTCCAGAAGTGATAGAAAATAATGAGTATATTAGCAATTTTAAATGTATTAACTTATATTTTATAAGGGTTAGTTTGGTTAGCGTGAACTGGCAAGAAAGGAAAAGAAACAGAAAATTTTTAAATTTTTTAAGAATTTGGTTAACGTGAAAAAGAAAATTTTCAAGAAAGTAATATTCTCGCAACTAGTTGATTTTCCTGAAAATGAAACCTCCAAAAAACACGGGAAAATTCTAGTTTCCCGTGAAAGTTGTATAATTATATTTTGATTCCCTATTATGCCCTTATTATTTGTTTATTCATTCATCTCTTTCTTCATTGATATATTAAAATTCTGTTATTATGTTACAGCTTAATGATTCTTAAAATTAGGACTCTTCTCCACACTCAAAAAAGAAGTGAACTAATCTAATATAGTAGTAGAGTCCTAATATATATTGCAACCTTAAAATTAAAAAAAAAAATTAAAAAACTATTCAATTACCAAATTTATATTTGGACATATATATATATATATTTATTTATTTATTTATTCATAACCCAATCTTATATATTTTTTTATGCTATGTATATTATTTATATTAAATTAGTAAGGGTAGTTTTGGTATATAAAATTATTTTCTTTTCACTTTCCTGCTATCCAAACTAATGAAACAATATTTTCTCACAATTTTCTTTAAAAAAATTCATGCTAACCAAATGCATAATAGAAACTAAATTTTCTTTTCCTTTCACTTTCCACCATCAAATTCCGGCTAAACAAACAGACCCTAAGTGAATGTATTAGTAGTTCTTAATGTGTTAGTTAGCTTGGTTTATTTTTGTGTATTTGGATTAATTTTTTTTTTTCCCTAGTTGGGACTCACACACACTGCCTCCACTGAAGTTCGAACACTTGACCTCCCTTTGAGAAATAGGAGCCTTATACCACTAGACCACAGCCTGTTGGTGTGTATTTGGATTTTGAAATATGAATATTTTTATAACAGGGAAAAAAAAAAGAACAAAAAAAGAAAAAGAAAAAAGAAGAAGAACCATGAAACCAAATCGAACTGAACTAGCATTTCACGGTTTGATTTGGTTCGGTTCCTTTGGTCAAATGATTCTTTTTGGTTCTACATTTTCTGAAACCGTTAGGAATGGTTTGGTTCCAAAAAAACTCTCAAACTGGTCCAAACCAAACCGTGTGCACCCCTAGAATTTAACAAAAAATCAACTTTATTATATTTATAGTTTAGTTATGAGAGGATCATCTTCTTGACTTCTAATTAAGCATGACCCTTGATGCACAAGATTTCCCACCAAGAGCCGAAAACGATAGACAAATAGATATAAAGAGGGGTTTGAGTTGGAACATGAACAAAAGTGTGTATGAGTTATTTGACCAAAAAAAAAAAAAAAGTATTAAATCCTTATTCTTGTCTAAAAAAATAATTTTCTTACATAAACTTAAAATATGTTACTGAATTCAAATATAAAATGCAGTAATAAGCATATGAAAATATTGAGTTGGGTCATTCACGAAATGAGTTATAATTAAAGATATAATATTTTAAAAAAATGCTCATTGTAGATCAAAATTTTTTATAAGATTCCAGCCAATCATAACTCAATCCATAAGCAAATTGTGTCAACTTTATTTAAACTTTTGTTTATATATCATATTGTGATAAGACCGGTAGGCCCGGGACCATGTAATAATTTATAGGCAAATATGGATATGAGCCCAATTCTATATTTAAACCTGACTCCTGAACGTCGGTTCATGATGTATTAAAACACTTATTAGATTTAATTCCATCTAGAAAAGGCATGACTCCTGGAGGTAGAGGTTTAGGTACAGAGTCTAAAGGCAGATTAGGTTACCAAATCATCTAGAGATTAACAAACACACTTACAAATGAACCATATTAAAGCCACCCTCTAAAGAAGCACATTCATATGATCCAACCTAAAATACCAAAAAAAAATTGAAAGCAGCCCATAAGACCACCATGCTGCCTAAGATCATATTTTGCACTGCAGTCTCTTTAGCTACACTAGCAGTCATTCTCTTAGCTTTATTCTCACCAGTAGTCCATAAAAATCCAGACAAGAACTCCACAAGACCTTGGCTAGCTCTGTCCCTGTACATTCAGCAACCACAGGTTGCTAACCCTAATATGCGTCAGGTGAAGCCGTCGGGTTCTGGAGCCTTCGTATTTCATCGAACCCTAACAGAGGGACCTGAGAACACTTCTCGAGTGGTCGGAAAAGCTCAAGGCTTCATAATTCCAATTGAACATTTCGCGCATTCGGCATTCAATATAATTTATCTTACCTTTAATACGCATGAGTATTCGGGTACCCTTAGTGTCCACGCAAAAAATGTTGCCCACAAGGAGAAGGAAGAACTCACCGTGGTCGGTGGCACAGGCTCCTTCGCTTTTGCTCGCGGGCTAGCTGTTTTTGCACAAACAGGCCGAGACGCCTCAGATTTGGAAGCAATGTATCACATAAAGTTGCACCTCAAGTTCTCTGATAGATCTCAAACTGTACCAAGATCATGAGGTGCAAGTTACTAATTAATTAATTTGAACTGTGTTTTTTCTTTTTGATAATTAGACAAGTTTATTCTTTGTGTAAGGGAGAATCTAAGTCATCATCTGGCACAGAAGCTGAGTCCAATATGGGTGTAAATTGTAATATATATATATATATATAGAGAGAGAGAGAGAGAGAGAGTATAATTACACCTTTCAAATGGTCATGGTATCTATTGGGGATTGAAACCCTTTTTTCCTTTTTTTCAGAAATTGTTTGAAACCCTTTCTGTGCTCATAAGCATGCATAGTATATATCTCTCTTTTTATTAATCTAGTTTTTCTTTCATAAAAATTAATAAGTAAATAAATAAAACATGCATATATAGTATGTAAAAAGCACTGACAAAACTAATCACAGCATAGGCCCTTTTCTTCCTAGTAAAAATATTGTAAGCTATTTGCTCAAGAAAGAGAGACCACCTTCTCTTTGACAACATTATTGAAAAAAGATATATATATATATATATATATATATATATGTAATACCCCTAATTTTAAAAGGATAATCTCGGTATTTATTTATTTGTTTTAATTGTATTTTTAATTATTTAATTAATTATTTAACTAATTGCTTATGTGTTTAATTGAATTAGGTATTATTTAATTATTTTATTATGTGTCTATGTATTATTTGTATTTGATTATTTGATTATGTATCTATGTATTATTTGTATTTGTCTATGTGTTAATAGTTTAATTAGATTATGTGCTTAAATGGTATTTTGATTAATTGTAAATTATATGTTTTTTTTTCTTTTATTATTATTATTATTATTTTTTATGGTTATGGTTAGTAGTAATGGGCCAACCAATTGGGTTCTATGGACTACTTGGATAGGAGGTTGGATGTGTATGCATTATTATCCATAAATAGATGTGTATGTATATATATATATATATATATATATATATATATATATATATATTATATACATATATAAAAAGGAAAGTAATTTATTAATTACTTTTATGGTAACTTGGGTAGTAATATTTAATCTGATGTTTTATATTTAAATAATAAAAATATATGATTTGATACGTGTTATGTTTTAAGTTACTTCATAATATTATGGTAACTTAAGTATTATTGGATAATCCATTAATAAATAATGGAATGTGTATAATTTATTTATTTAATAAAGATATACATAAAGTATATACGTAAAAATATTTTACTTACCTTTTTAATATTTTTATTTTTATTTTTTTTAAGTTGACTTGGATTGTGAAAAGGGTTAGGGTTATTTTATTTAGCCTATAAATATATAGCTACGTGATATATTCTAGAGAGAGAGAGAGAGTTAGAGAAGGAAGGAGGAAAAGGAAGGAAGGAGGAGAAAAAACCCTGTAGAGAGAAAATCAAGGAAGAAGAAGTTTAACTTTCGATCCGAAAGTTTAAGGTAAGTTCTTCTTCTATCTCTTTCCCTTTGATTCGTGTTTCAGTACATGCCTAGAAAATTTCAGGATTTATTAAACACATAAAATTAAATAATTATGCATGTTTAATTGGATTAGAACATAGGTTTTATAAAATTGGTTCATATCTGTTCTTGTGTTATGAATTGATAAATACATGATTTTGATTTTAGTTCCGGTGTGAATTTTTACATGTTTAAATTATGTATTTTATATATCTGTAGAATGATGGAACGTAGAAACATGCCTAGGATTCCTGAACATTAAATAAGAACTAGGTTTGGGTTTAAATAAATTTAAATAGACTCAATCATAATGATGCTTGCTATTTGAATGTTTTAAACAAACGAATGGATTTAATCTTTTAATATATTTTAACAATTGAGATTAAATGTGTAGGATGAATTGGATATGGATAATGCTTATTTGACGGTATAATAAAATATCATCATATGTATAAGATTCAGTTTATGTATGACATATGATATAGGAAGCTTAAATAAATAATAAGTCATTCTTATTTTGTGATAACTTGATATCATATTATCATAGTTATTTTTGGATTGTTTAATGTATTTCCTTAATCGTTACATCAATTGTTGGATTGTGTGGTTTAATGCACCGGTATGGGACGGTGGCATTCTAGGGACGGATTAACTTATCAGTTAAGTCCTACATATTTTATATAAGGGAATGGATTAACTAAAATGTTAAGTCCTACTTATATTCAAGTCAGGTCAACTAAATAAGTTGAATGACTTATGGAGGATTAATTTATTATATAAGGGAATGGATTAACTAAAATGTTAAGTCCTACTTATATTCAAGTTAGGTCAGTTGAACAAGTTGAATGACTTATGGAGGATTAATTTATACTGAATAGGATGGTTACTAGATTTGATATATATATAAGTATGGTGCCATGATATGAGCTTGAGTCTCAGGATTAGTGGGTAGGGTGCGTATATCGCCAGGGATGTGTAGCTAGATATAGTGTAGTTGTATACCCTGGTAGGTCTAGGTACTCATGCCCACTATATGTGCGTTTTGCATGTTGCCTACTATTCAAGTTGAGACAACCCTATAGTCTAGTGAGGTTCCTTTAGTGTGTATATATATATATATACGGACTACTAGTTATAGTTGGATTGACTAGGACGTATATGTGTATCGGATCTCTGCTTGGACTGTAGTAGAGTAGAACTTGTTTGTGGGTCTGACCCACTATTATTTTTCAGGTATTCGTCAGGAGTAGAGGTTGTTCGTGCTGAGCGGAGATCAGTCTACTTCATTCTTCCGATGCTACATAGGAGTTCCTTTATGATTCAGTTTCCTGATTTAGACAGTTATTGCTGTCATTTGTTTAGTTTGAATTTTCTAGGGGTCCATACAGTATGGATTCCCGAGTTGTATTTTGAAAGATCAGTTGTATCAGAAGAGTTTATTAATTAATGAAAATATATTCTGAGGTTTATTATTAGATTATCATTTTAGTTTCTTGTCAGCATCTTATTTATTCTTCTTTATTCTTTTGTATTCTGTATTCGTTTATTGCCGATTTTGTTTTTGATATCCTCGGGTATTCGGGCGTGGGCCTGGCCAACCCGCATTCGGGAATCCGAGGGTATCATAGTTGGTATCAGAGCACTCCAGGTTCAAGTGTCCTTAGGAGTGTCTTTCGTTATATGACTTCCGCGTTGCGTCTCTTAAAACTTAGAGCCCGTATTAGGATTCGTTGTACTCTATTTACGGTTTGTTAGGAGGAGCTGATGTCAATTATATTCTGTAGTCATAGAATGGTTAGCACTAGGAAAAGGATGGGTTTAAGGCGAAAGCGATAAAGACCCAAAGGAGTAAAGGAGTACGTTATCGATTTTGTTGCCAGAAGGCAGAGTTAGGGGTTGATGGTTTAGGTTCGTTTGACGTTACTTTAAAAGTATAAGCCAAGGAATGATTTAGGTGCACGTGATAGGTCACTGCATATCGGGGCCAACATGACTTCAGTTGATCTCAAAAATGAGACAAGCGAGGAGTAGGAGCCGAAGAGGATCTTAATGGAGGAGATTTATGTGCATCTAATAGAGAAGGTACTAAATCTTGAAGATGGATGATCGCGCGAGGTGATGTGAATTGCTAGTAGTATAGCGAATGTTATTAGTGGAATTGGGGTTGATCAATTTACAAATAATTAAGTTTTCTTATCATCTCTAAAAAAGTATATAAGAAGTATTGTTCAGGAGTTTGGGGATCGAATGTGTTCTTATCAAAATGAAATACATAATTTTTAAATCACAAACAAGAGGGCATTGGTATTATGTTGTGACATTCTAATTCACTTTATAAAGCCAAGTTAAACAGTTTACATTCCGCATATAAGAAGGATGAGGGTTAAGCCCTTGGTATTTGCTTAGGCAAACATTTGTGTTTTTAAGCTATGTTTTAAAGGATGTGTTTCGAGATTGGATGATTATTTATGAAACTATAAAAGGAAATTTTGAAACAATCTAATAAGGTTAATTTCAAAGGAGACTTTCTTTTCTAGAAAGAACGATGTCCTAAGTAGGAGTATATTTTATTTTATTGTGTTTATCATAAGTGTTTTATATTTTTTTTTTGTTAATTACTCGGGATTTGGTATGTGGTTTAGTTGGGGACACAAGTGTGTGATCAACCAACTATTGTTTTAATAATATGGAGTAATAACGCTATTTACGCTAGATTTGTGAGCGTACGGTAGTAAGATTTGGTAGATACACATAAATCTAGCCAATCTATTGGACCTAGACATGTGTCATTATGGTGTGTTTTGGGATGGGATAATTAAACTATCACTACGAATCAAACAATTTAGAACGATTAGTTTGATATATTTTACGTTAGGTATGGATTCGTATCATATTACAACGTTATGATATTGGTGGTTGTTAATGTTTCGGTATGCGTGAGGTAGTGGTAAATAAAGATCACTGTAACGCCATGATGATTTATCAGAGGTGCTGGATTTGATGAACATTTTCTTGAAAATTTCAGAAGTTGTTATCAAGTCGGAAGGAGGATTTAGTATTGGAATAAGTACTTATTGGAATGACACCGAGTAAGGATAGGAGACTGAATAAATATTCATCAGTAAATTCTTAATCAAGAATTTATTCAAGAGGGTGTGTCATTAGGAGGAATTTGCCAGTATTGCACATGGAGGAGGAAACTAAGTCTCTTCATTTCTATAAATAATATGGAATTTTTTTTTTAGTCACAATTTGCAACAATTAGCTATTACAAGAAAACTGATGACTTATGTAGAGGATAGAAAGATTTCATATTCTTTTGAAGTTAGACAAAGAAGTCGAATTATCATTAACTTGTCTTAAAGAAGTAGGGTGTGTCAAAGACAAGATGGTGAGACCAAACACTTATATAAAGATGAGGGGCATGGTATTTATGGAAAGGTCATAATTTGTTGACTTTTGTTGAGTTAAAGTCATAGTTGACTATTGATAAATATAATTACCGATTGATTTTCAATATCGGCAAGTTTATCATGGATCAGT